ATGATATTTGAAAATAGGCAAAATTTATCTATGATGTGGGGGACAGTGAGTGGAGGAACATTCAGGCCAGGTTTCTGGGTTGTTGGTGCCATGCTATTTCTTGATCTGGGTGTCAGCTGCATGGGAGTGTCTAGCTTGTGAAAGTTACTGAGATATAGGCTTACAGTTTGTGCCCTTTTGCATCTATATATTTGGAGCTTCAATGAAAAGTTTACAAAAAACAAGAACATGATCTCTGCACCACCATCATCATAGATTGCTGCCTGAATTGGAAATCTGCGCTGTGGTTTTCCACCAGTAAAATGAGAGTTAGGTAATACTCAGCATTTTCTTATGCCTGCACAAAGTAGGTACTCAATAAATATTTGTTGAATAAATGAAGAATGGGTCATAGATATTCTATGGAACAGGTAAGCTATTAAGTAAAAATGCCAGGGAATTTTAAAAGGTCACATAGGGAAATTTCTATTATTAGAGATTTTCATTATCTGAGTCATTGTATCAGACATTTAGGAAGGGAGCATCACACCTCCTGTGCAGCCTCCGGCTTAAATCCACACATGGAAGCACATGGTTCTTCTCATCAGCAATGGAGAGCAGCCCAGACTTAGGGTGACAGGGACCCCACTATAAGGAGTACTTTCTCTGTTCCATAGCCCTTTGGAGTCCTTCACTGGGCTCAGTTCATTTGGAACTTTGGTGTCATCTCTGTGTAAATGCTGCATGTTCATTTTTTCTTGGCCTTTGGTGAGTAAAATGTGACTGGAAATGTCTGACTTGTGGCAAGACTGGAAATGCCTCATCTTTTTGGGGTACATGAAAGAGCAATTAAAGAGGACCATTAACCGGTACACACTGACTCTCAGGTCTGCCAGCCCTCTTCCAGGAAGTGTGGTAGCACAGGAGCACAGAGTTGCAAGAGGGGCAGATCTGAGGTAGAAGCAACTCAGATTTCCACACCTCCTGCCTCAGCAGAATCTCGGTCAGTCCTACACACCCTCTAGCCAAACCCTGTAGTCAGGAGGCCAAGCGTCAAGCTTTGAAGACATGCTTTAAGTGACATAGAAGGCTAGCTGAAGTCATTTTCCCATGAAAAGACTGTGAATGGTGATTGTGCAAACATGCATTCTAACATAGACCCAGCCCTGTCACCCTAAAACTTGGATTTTTGTGTCCTTTTATAAGACTCAAGAAACATATTATACAACTCAAATCCAACAGCACAATATCAAGAAGTGTGTACCTTGTTGAAGCCACCTTCTAAAATGTGACTCCTTTATCTCTAACGACTGCTGCCCTTCCCTTGGCCCTGGTGAGATGGACCGAGAAGTCTTGGTTTTGGGGAGCAACTTCAGCACTGGGTCCTGTACGCCTGTGTCAAGGGAGCTGAGCTAACATGGCGACGGAACGTGAGCCCTCTGCCTGGATCTCTGGGAGATTTGCTTCTCTCTAATGATGAAGTTTCTTAATCAGTTTATGTGACATTGGTGTCTTTGTTTCACCCACATGTCAAGTACTGACAGCATTTTCACAGAGATGAGTTCAAGGGGTGAAGCTTGCCTTCCAAGGGCAGTCTAGTTCAGAGGGTCTTATGGAGCCTGTCCTGGAGGATTGGCTATGCCAGCTCTCAGTGCCTGGGTCTCATGCTCCGCCCTGGAGGGCATCCTCAGAGGACATCTGTCTTTAGAGAAGTTGTTGTGGTCTTTCCTTATGCACTGGTGAGGAGCTGGGGCTGTCAGTCTGAGGGAGGGTGGGGGTGCGGTCGTGGGGGAGGATGGGGAGAGCAGGTGGGGAGTGCAGGCTTTCGAACTGCCAGAATATGCCAACAGACAGACCTTGGGTGTTGAGAACAACTGACAAACATACAATCAGCATTAAGCCCTGGTTCGGTTACTGACAACACTTCCTCCCTTCTGCTTCTAACACTGCCAACCTGTAGACTCATTGTGAGGGTGACAAAAAGGCCTCCCTTTTATTTATTTGAGTGATTGATTGTAAAGCTCCTGCAAATCTTGCTATGCGAGCTTAGGTAGGTCAGTTGTCATGTATGTCCTTGGGCCCCTGCTTTGTTACCTACTATAAAGCCAGGATATTGGACTCTAATCTTTAAGGCCCCCTTCTGCATCAGAGTTCTGCGTTCCACAGCATCTTCCAGACAGCTTCTTGGGAGTGTTGTCACCAGAGGCTGCAGTTAAAATCCAGATATGTTTCCTGTGAAAGATAATGTTGTAAGCCTCATTAACACTGCTACCTCAGGTCAAGCGTGTTCACTAGATATATTCACTGTATTGAGGATCCAGGATACTGGCTTGGTTCATTTATGTTGGAGGAGAAAGAGAGGAACATTCTGGAGAAAGGGGAGCTGACCAAGGAGTTCAGGATTGAGTGGTGCTCTGCTCACCATTTTAAATAAAGGTTACTCAAGGCAAATGCCAAGATTCCAGAGGCAGGATTTACCCTTATAACTGGCATCAAGAAACCAGAATCCTTCAGGGTCCGTAGTTGGAAGAGAAAGCAGTCAGCCTTTGAGGTAGCTCAGTGATGTCCCCTCCTGGTATTCACCCTGTATAATCCCTTCCCCTTAAGCATAGGCTGGGCCTGGAACCTTATACTTCATTCATGTGGGGGTGAGGAGGGTCTATAACATATTTGTCATGAATCTATACATACTAAATACTTTAAATTTTACCAGTGGAGACCTATTGCCAACACTCATTATCCTGGGAAACAAGCCACTATTTTTATTTAAAAAACAACTCATTGATGACATTGAGAATGTTAATTTGCAAGCCTTAAGTTTGGTTGAGATGTGGAGTGGAAGCCTTTTGAGTAGCTGCTGCTGGAGTATCAGTTTCCTGATGAGAGCTCCAGCTGATCTCCGCACGTCTGTGCATTCTTGAATAGAAGGCTTTCTTGAGCTTGGACAGCCTGGCCCCAGACTTGTAGCCAAAACTGAATTGAACACACATACACATACACTCTCACACAGACACACATACTCACACACAAACACTCATATGCACAAAATGCCCCTTTGCACATGGTGAATTATCTTAAAGCAATTACAGCCAAGTGGTAAATAAGGGTGGGTTTGCAGAAGGGTTATAATTTCTTGTTCATGTGGATGGCCAAACCCTTAGTCTCCTGTTTTTCTTTACATTCATTTATTTCTTGCTTTCTCACTCTCCATCTGGTACCCTGGAGTTTTTCTGAGACCTGATGAGAATGGAAAGGATGTTCTTTAGCCAAACAAGACGACAGTTCCCTGCCCTTTAAGCAGGGCAGAGGAGTGGAGGGATGGGCTGGAGTGGTTGGCTGGATGGCTCCAGTGGATGGCTGGAGCTGCTGCAACAGACTTTGGGTCACCAAGGACCCGGGTCCATGGCTGTTGGAGGTTGCACGTGGGCAGCAGCCATGGCTCAGACTTGGTGGGTGTCCCATGGGTTCTGCCTGTGCTAGACAGCTTCTCCCTTTTCTGAAGATACAGCTGGACTGGACTGCCCAGCACCTCAAGAATGGCCAGAGATACTATGGGGCTGGGCTGTCTGGGCTCAAGATCCCATTAACATTTTAAAAATATATAGCTCAAAACCAAGTATGACATTGGTACGTACATTCTAACCACTGTCCTTTCAGATGTGCTGCGCCGCAGCTTGAGAGACACATCAGCCAGTTGTATACTGATAGTGCATGGGTGTCAGTGTCCTGGAGGGCATTTTGGTGACCCAAGGAAGCAAATCTTATTACTAAGTGGAATTTGGGGATCCAGGCCCCAGGGAAGCTATTTCTTGGAATCTCCTTGTCAAACTACTGCTAAACTGGTAAACAATGGAAATCAAACATCTTAGCTTAATAAAGGTGTGCAAAATAAGAAAATAAATTGACCATAAAGCCATTACCTGATCTCAGAACTGTTTCTGTTTCCTGTTTTAAAGGAAATGACAGAGTGAAAGGCTATGGCTTGGACCTGTCTCCTCTAATGTATTCATCCACATACATCCCCATTCTGCGTTGGCTTATGGTTATCTATTCCTTTACCGCCTGCAGACCAGAGTTTTAAAACTATCTCTGAATCTATTGAGGAGTGCCTTTCAGCACATGTACGCACAGGTTTGCTGGCACGGGTGGCATAGGTGCAGTGCATGGTGCAAGTTCATGGGCCTTCTGAGAGGCTGCCAACACCCGTGAAACATGATTTGTTTAATGAGCAGAAATGATGTTGCCCTCTGGGAGCCCGCCTTGCCTCTGTGTCCCTAGTTGGTCAGGGCAGCTTGGACTGTTCCCATAGAAAGACATGTTCCTTACTGGCTCCTCTCCTCAGGACTGAGTTTACGCTGACTAAGCCAATTGTATTTTGCTTTCTAACCTGCCTGGGTGGGTAAGATAGGAGCAGGTTTCTTTTGGGTGGGGAGGAACATTCCTTTCTTCCTGAGAGGAAGGTGGTATTTATGTTTCTCAGAAAAGAACTTCCCGGGGAATAACATATTGCTATATGTTTTGGATATTTGGGGTAAAAAGAGAACAATTGAAGCAATTTATTTCTACTCTAAAGTGCTGTCAGAAGCGTGCAGAGGGACTACAACCTAGGAGAGCCCTTCTGCAGATGTAGCATGTGAAGAGAGCAATAGTGCTGAACCCTGCTGAAAATCCCCCCAGAGTTTTTTTTTTTAAATACCAATGCCTAGTTCCACCCCAGACAGATTAAATCAGACTGTCTGGGTGATGAGGCCCGAGTCTTGGTATTTTTTAAAGCTCCCTGGTGAATTTCACGTGTGGCCAAGGTTGAGAACAACTGCAGTAGAGTGTCGTGTAGCTTATATCAAAGTGTGAGGGAGATAAACTCTTGATTACTGGAGGTTAGGTAAAAAAAATATAAAATCAAATCAAAATCAATTACCATTGAGTACCTTCTCCTTGTCAGGAGTTGTGGTGGGCACTTAGCCCATAATTTCCACAGCAACCCTGCAGAGTAGGTGATGCGTTCTCTTTCCATTTTACAGAAGAGAAGCTAAGCTGAGAAAGATGAGCTGAGCTGATTTGCACAAGGTAACCCGATTACCACGTGGTAGAGCTAGAATGTGAGGTAAGGTCTATGTGATTCCAAAGCCGCTTAAACCATGTTCTCCTATAAAGGACTCATCCCGGGCTGATGGAGAGGAAAGAGTGCAGGCTTTGGCTGATGGTGCATTTGTGGCTATGGTAATGGGCCAGTTAATAAAGACAGGCAATTTCCAGAGAGTTTTAAGGACAAATTCCAAGTGTTCATTTGCCGTGCAGCTTTCATTGGCCCTTGCCATGTTTCTGGCTGTTGCAATTTTCCCTTTCCCCTGCCACTTAGTCCTGCTGCTTCTGGCTTTACAGAAGATAAGCGGGCCAGGATACAGTCCATGTCAAAACCAGAATGCATTGTCTTTCTGTCCAAACTAATCTCTGCTCCTGTGAGCTGTGACCTGCAGAGGTACACCGCCACCCCACCAAGCACGCCAGCCTCGAACCTGGGGCTTCCAGCCCTTCTCACATCCTGATTTCCCCACAGTGTTGATAAGCCAACTCCTAATCATGTGAAATCCTCTTCCTTTCTGTTGTCTATGGCTGTTAGTCCTTCTCTCCTCCTTCCCTCTGTTTGATCCTTTCATTACAGAAAAAGCATACTACTTATTTAAAATCAGGAATAAAAATAGTGCAAATTTCTCTGAGTATGCCTATGTATGTCACACAGTTTTGACTTTCTACATAGTCAAACAACACTATCAAATCAGCAATGATGAGGAGGTAAAAAAGCATCCTAAAACTGGAAGAAAACTGGAGCAAATGAACCCAGTATATTTCGAGTGAATAACATTACCACAATGAAGTGGAAAAAACCTGAATGAAGGAACTTATGAACATGGCATTTGACTATATACATCCAGTCTCTTATAGGGTGGAGAGATGGGGAGAACAACAAACAAATCCTGAAATTTTTATAGTAGGTTTGCTTTTGGGAGAAACCACTCTGAAATTATTTCAGATGTATTATAGGATTGAGTAATGAATAATAAATTTGTTCATGTTCTTGGGAGCATGAGTTTTTGTTGTGGAATAAGAGAGGTACAAATGTGGAAGTCAAGAAGAAACCCTGTGGGAACCACTTGCAATTAGAGGCATTGGTGTGGACTCAGAAGTGTGTGTGTATGTGTTGTGCATAGATACATATATATGTACGAGGTCTGTCTGGAAAGTATCCAACCATGTAATATGAAAAAATAGAGACATCTATTGAAGAAGATACAAGATACAAGAAACATTGTACATAGGACAATGACTGCTCAGTCCCCTTCAAAGTAGGCACCTTGGGACCTCACACAGTTCTCCCAGAGTCTCTTAACCTAACCCGCACACGTTCAGCATTCTCAGGTGTTCTGCTTGTCACAGGATCCAGAATGTGGATCACTTTCAACAGATTCTAGACCATCCTTGAAGCTTTTGTGCCACACTTTTATTGGTGCTGCACTCATTGCATCATCCCAGAAAGCCTTCTGAATTATCCGAATAGTTTCCACAGTGGAATGTTCAAGCTAAATGCAAAATTTGATGCAGATTCATTGCTCTACTCGCTTGGTCATTTTGAATGCGATGGCCACACAGTACACATGCTCACTCAACAGCATCTAGTGCCCCACCCACTAGTGAAGTTGTCATTGTCCATGCATGTGCATTCCAGTCCGCTTGCCTTGGCTGCTGGGTTACATCGATGATGTGCAAACCATTCTTGTTATATTAACAATGGCTGGATAATTTCTGGACAGACCTCCTATATTTCCCAGTTTTGTCCTCTAAAAAGGCCAAGAAGCAATGACACCCCAGTAGCAATGAGCATACCTAGCACCGAGACCTTGGTCTCTAATAAAAGGAATCCTGGTTTCTAGCAGAAATGGCTGATCCCACAGCTGGGGCAGGGTAGTTACAAGATGAACCTGACATACCAGAAAGAAAGAAAATGATAAAAGAAAAAGATGGAATATGTCACTAGGATATAAGCACCAGTGTAAAGGGATTCCCTCTGGTCAAGTCAGAGATAATGAGAGCACTTAAAGACAGTAATGAATTATAAAACATTGAAGAAAAAAGAATCCACAAGTCCACAGTGAAAATAAATAGACAAAGAGATCAGTGGAGGAGAAGGGAAGTCTCTTGCTTGTAGTGGAATGCCAAATAACTATTGGTAAATGTGGAAGGAGTGCTAAAGTTGGAAAATCATTATTTTGCAACCATCACAGTAAAATTGCTTCTCCTAAGAATCATCAACAGATGCTATCTTAGTCCATTTGGGCTGCTTTAGCAAAAATACCATAAACTGGATAGCTCTTAAACAACAGAAATTTATTTCTCACAGGTCCAGAGACCGGGAAGTCCAAGATCAAGGTGCTAGCATATTCGGTGTCTGGAGAGGGTCCTCTTCCTCATAGGTGGACATCTTTTCACTGTAACCTCATATGGCAGAAGGGACAAGGTTTCTTCTAAAAGGGCACTAATCCCCATTTATAAGGGCTCCACCTTTATGACCTAAACCTCTCTCAAAGGCCCCACCTCTTAATACTGTCACATTGGGGATTAGGTTTCAATATATGAATTTTGGGGGAGCACAAACATTCAGACCGTAGCAGATGCTAAATCTAGGAGAGCAATTTTGATGAGGAACAGATAATGAAATGGATGCCTCCACAGTATCCCTGAAACAGGGTTGGAAACCAGAGGCACCCAAAACATAGGTGATGCCTCTGAGTTAGACACCCAACAAACCATTGTCTTTCAGCATCCATGCCATAAAAAACAGCATAGTTTAGTCCAAAGTTCTATTTTAGATTTGCTTTCTCAATGACTTTAAACCTTAAAATAGAAGTGTACCAGGCAGACACCTCATTTTTCAGTATAGAATTAAGTTCTGCTGATAACGGATGGATACTTTCCACATTAATGTAAAATGTGAGCACACATTGTGAGATAGTGTAATGCACTCCAGGAACCAACCATGATATATTTAGATACTGATTAGAAGTAAAACTGATACATCATTCCTTATAGTGTACATGAATAGTACCAGTGCATAACAGTGCCTCTCGGGACTGAGGTCATTTATTTTTTCTCCTGGATATATTGTTTATATCATGTTCTCTCCCTCCTGTTATGTATTAAATTGTTTAATGTAAGCCATAAGAGAGCAAATGTCACTTAAAGGTCTTTTGCCCCCCCCCTCTTAAAATCTGAAGAATCAAATCTTCTAAAGCAGGTGATCTGTCAGTTTTCATTCCTGAATGTCATTGGTACGTATAGCTTTTCTTATCAGTTCATTTCACATTCCCAAATCAAATGACTATTAATCTACAACATCTGAGCAGAAAGTCTGGGGGCTTCCTGACTTTTATGGAGGCAATTTTCTGGGTCCCAAATGTGTGTCTGCAGGAATGAAAGCTTCCCTGAAGTTGGTAGGAAAGTCAATTCATTATTAGAATGTTTCCTAAGAGGGGAAGACTGGTTAGAGCCAAGTTGATAATTAATAACTACTATTATTATTTTTGGAAAATTGCAAGTGTGTGTGTGTGCATAGTGATATTATAAGAGTAAATCAACTATAAGTCTTGGAAAATATGATGGTCCAAAATTAAACTATTCTGTTATCATAAGCACCTCTTCAATCTAGGACTGCAGCAATAATAATCACCACTTATTGAGGCTTACAGCATGTCTGGCATTGTGCAAGAACTTCATATACATCATCTCATTTAATCTGCACCAAAATACATCCACTGTGGGATGGTTATGATTATTCTTCATCCAATCCATCAGCAAATCGTCTTGTCTCTGCCTTCAAAATATCTTCTGCATCTGTTCCCAACATCTCCCCTGTGACCATCCAGCCTAAACTGTTCTCATCTCTTGCCTATATTACTATAATAGCCTCCTAGTATGTCTCTCTGGTCTCTGTAGTATTCGTTAATGCTGTTTGCACAGTATTCCGTCTTGCGCTCCTGGCAGGATTATACTCTCCCACTGCCTTTGAAGTTACATGTGGTCAGGTGATTTGTGTTGGCCAATGAGATGTGAGTGGAAGTGATGCCTGTCACTTCCAGGTAGAAGCTTTACAGCCCATGCATGAGTCACTATGCTTCCTTTTCTTTCTGTTTTGGGGATCTGCAATTATTCAAATAGAGGCTGTGCCTTCCCCAGGTCCCAGAATGAGGAGAGATAGGGCAGAACCCCAGCCAACTTATAGTGGACATGGAGTGTGAGTGAGAAATAACCTTCACTTTTAGAGGCCACTAAGGGTTTGTGGTTACTTATTCCAGCAGCATGACCTAGCCCGTCCTGATTGGTGTATTCCTTTTGCAGTCTCATCTTCAAACTGCCCCCGAAGCTGTCTTTTCAAACATGCATCAGTCTATGCATCCAAAATGGTTTCTCATCAACATATTGAAAGAATGAAATTGAGACCGCTCATTTTTAGGCTTTTTATAACCTTTGACCCCCTTTCCGTAAGCCACACTAGCCTCTTTGCTGTCACTTGACAATTCCTCAAATGTTCCTGCCCCCAGGCCTTTACACCTGTGCTTGGGTGACTTTTGCCCAGATATTATGAGGCTCTTTCTTGCCTTTATTCTGGCCTCTGGTCAAATGTCCCCTCCTCTAAGAGGCCTTCCTTGACCACCTTATCTGAAATAGCACCCCACCACTCTCTATCCCTTACCCTGCTTTATTTTTCTTCATAGCATGTATCAATTTATTGCTACCTGACACTGTGGTGTCTATTTCTTTGTCTGTTGTTTGTGTTCCTCCTGAGGGCAGGGATGTTTGCCTGTTTTGCCCACTGCTTGAGCTTGCTCTGTAGTTACTGCCCACTCTGGGCACTCAGTGAACATGTGTTGAATAACTGTGAGCCCCATTTTACACATGAGGAATCTGGCGCTCAGAGAAGTGAAGGAACTTGGCCAAGGTCACACAGTTAGTTAGGGAGTTGTGATCAAGTCTAGGTCTCTGACTTTAATGTGCTCATAAGCTGGACTCTTCTCCACACAGCACCCTGAAATTTTTGCCAAATTTCAGGCG